GACTTGAGTAAAGAGATCCGCCCTCACCAATGTGGGTGGGCATCATGCAATCCCTTGAGGATTCAAATGGGTCACAAATGCAAAGACAGGGCAAATTCTCTTTCTCTCTTCTTGAGCTGGGACATCCACCTTTCCTACCCTCAGATATCAGAGCTCCTGGTTCTAGGAGCATACACACCAGCAGCTGCCTGATTCTCAGGCCTTCGGGCTCGGATGGAATCATACCACCTGCTTCTCAAGCTTGCAGATGGCGCATCTGGGACATCTCAGCTTCTGTTGCCACGTGAGCCAATTCCTCTAATAAACCCCCTCTTATATACATATCTACATATATGCTACCGGTCCTGTTTCTCTGGAGAACCATGACTAACACAGATGCTTTTCAATCTCCGTTCTAGTTTCTGAGTCCTGTCTACCTACTGTTGAGCCTCTGTTGGGGAGTAAGAATAGAGTGGGGGAGAATTACATAAAATTCCTCTGTTCAAACCCTCCACTGGTTCTGCAGATCACTCACAATAAAAGCTAAAGTCCCCACCGTGGCCTCCAAGGCTCTAAAGATTTGCCCCCTTCTGGGAGACAATTCTCCCCTTCTTGGGGCAGAGTTATTGTTGCCTTTGTTTGGACTGTCTTCTTAAAGGTGTTTATACAAGGAACAGCCTGGGAAGACAGAATCCGAGTCCCCCCCCTCCCGCCGCCGCCGAGACAGATTTAGTATCCAGCGTAACAATGCCTCCCTCTAGGTCAAAGGTCAGGCGGGTGTGCTTGCCGTCCAAGATTTGGGTTCTCTAAGCTCTGGGTTCCTCAGCTGTGATGCAAACCCCCTATATGGGCAGCATCCACGTGGGCTGCTCCGTGTCACCCCGGATGGCATTTGAAGCGGGGTTCGTGAGCAAATCACAAAAGACATCCTTGAGACGTCCTCAAGAGAGAATCCTTGAGACGTCTTTGGTGCAAAAAGGTGATTTTATTAAAGCACGGGGACAGGCCCCGTGGGCAGGAAGGGCTGCACTGGGGTTGTGAGGAGCGACTGATTACATACTTTCAAGTTTGTGGACGGCGGGGAGGTATATAAATATAAGTGTCCAAGGAATTTCTGGAAGCTGAAAGAGGGTCTCCGAGGACCCTGAAGATTTAGCTATTGTCGGCATAAGGATGCTTGTAGTTTTAAAGGAAGCGCACACATTACGGCATGAAGGGCTGCAGGCTGTAAGGGAACGTACTTTAAACTGCATTTTTCTTGCCTTTGTTTCTCTCGTCAACTCCCAAGGATCTAGCAGGGGCGAGCAGAGAAGACACAAACGTGAAGCTCATACTACTTGCTAAGCTGGAGGTAATGAAAGCCTGCGTCTGTGCCAATAACCCCCCAAATGTGCCGGGCTACCTCGTTAGCCTGCAGGTAAGGTGAAGGCTCAGAACCCTCTTAACTACCTACCCCACACGTTCTCTCACCTCACCTCCTGCCATTCTTTCCCTTGTGACCTTGCCCAGCTACGCTGGTCTCCCAGCGGTTCCTGGAACCTTCCGAGCACGGTCCTGCCTCAGGGCCTCTGCTATCAGCCTGGCAACATTTCACCCTCCCCGCCGTGTCCTCGGGTTCTGTCCCAATGGCGCCTTAGTGGGGCCTTCCTCAACTAGTCTTAAAATAGCCTTGCCACCAGTAAACGGGTGCGCTTCTGCCAATCTAATGGGTGAAAATAGCATTTCAGTGAGTTTTAAGTGTCTTACCTTCTGTTATTTCCCATATCTATATACGCTAGAATATCTCTTATACCTCCATTATTTATCGTCCTTAAAGACCCATCTATATTTCCCTGCCAATTGTCTGGTACTATTCTTTGTCTGTTTTCTAACAGCAGTTAGTCTTTTCCATATTAATCTCTCACTTGGGATGCAATTATGCATATTTCCCCCCAACTTGCCATCTGCTGAGTTTATGGTGTCATCGTTCTTGTGTCTGTGCTGTTTTGCCATATAAAACTTTTCTATTTTTCTGTGGTTGACTTTGTCAATCTTTTTTTTTTTTTTTTAGTGAGAAACTGCAGGTTTAGTTTTTAATTTTGACAAAGACATAAAAGACAAAAACAAAAGACAAAACAATAAGTACAGAAAACCAGGAGAACAAAGTGCAGGGTTGGATGTCTGAAAGCAAGGCTGGGCTCGAACAGACTTCTGGTGAAACACAACCAAAAGTTTTGCTCAAGTGTCTCAGCAACGTTGAGCGACATTTGAGACACTATGACCACTCTATACCCCATCTGCAAAAGTCACCAACGTAGGCTTCACGGCATCTCTCCTGCTTGTTTCGGCAGGATATTTTTTTGGTAACAATCCTGCTTCGTTACGAACTATACTCGTCCACTGTGTTGAGGGCTTCTTGTGTGAAGAAGTGTGATGAATACAAAGACCGACGTACACGTTGCAAAGTAAGAGAGAACCGGAAGTCTGAAAACAAGTCAGGGATAATCATAGTCTTGTACAAATTAATATGTCCTGAGGCTTAGTATTAGTGTCTGTACATCATCCCCTTTTATATGCACAATAATCTCAGAGAGGGAAAATATTCTGAGCATTTTGTAAGGTAACCCTCTAAGAGTTTTGCATAATGTGCCCCTTTCTTTTCTAATTTTTTTTCCAAGTCCTTTTCTAATTTCTTTTCCAATTCCTAATGTTCCAGTGAACATCCTCAGGAATTGCTTAGTGTGTCAGGGTCCCTAAGACACCCCCATCCGGGTTTGATGACGTGGGGGGGGCATTCACAGGACTCGGCATATCGTTGTACACGCGGCTGTAGCTTATTACAGCAAAGCATACAAAGTACAAGGAAAAGGTGCATGGGGCAAAGCCCAGAGGAAACCAGGCACTAGCTTCCAGGGTCCACTGCCAGTGTTGTCGCACAGGATGTGCTCAATCTCCCCAGCGATGGAGCTGTGACATGTGTGAAATGGCTTCCGTGAGAGCTCACGAGAGATGCAGCGCCCAGGGTTATTACTGTGGGCCAGTCACACAGGTACCTTCCTCCTAACATGTACCAACATTCTAGACTCCCAAAAGGAAAACAGATGTTCAGCACAAACCACACCAAACAAACATCTTAGTCACAGTGAGCAACTCTTACCAGTGAGAGGGAAGGGAACCTTGCTGACATCCAAGTTCCCAGATGGCAGCCGAGGACCAAAACGGTAAGCAGGCCTTTCAAGGGAGAGCCCTCTGGTTTGCTGTGTTGTTCTTTTCTGCAACAATTTTAGTGACAATCCCACAGGAACAGTCAATGTACTTCCAGGTTCGAGAAAACTCTTCTAATTCAGAAACAAAACATTAAAAAGAAAAGACATAATCAAGCCTGCTACCTGAGATATGGCTGATGCCTTCACGTTAATAAACTGTAATCGTCCTATTTGATCTTCCCGAGCTTTACTGAAAAGTGGAATGAAAATAAATAAAAAATGAAGGCAAATTCAGTTTGGACTTGGTAAACTTAGAATCGTAGTCCTTCAATATAAAGAGGACTATTTCAGGACTGCTAGCAGCAAAGCTTAGAAATGCCCATGTTATGACTGAATGAACTTCGCATGATTACATATAATTAAGCAAAAACAGTTGGCAACCACTTGGACTTGATAGTTTAGACGTGAACTTTAGAAGTAAAAGGTAAAGGAGGCATTATAATATCATGTGTCGGAAGCTACCTTTCTTCAGCTAATATTTTGGGGGTGGATACAAGAGGAAACTCCCTTTTGTTGTTCTTGCCACTTGAGTACATTCTCTGCCAGGTCTTGTGTCTCAGTCATCAAAAGAGCCATCTTTGCTCAAGCCTTGTTCATTTTCTCCAGATGTGCCTCTGCATGAGGGGTATTTCTAATTGTTTCAAGATGGTTTGCCAATCTCTCAATGAAAGTCACCACCAACTCCAGCCAAGGTACCATGTTTCTGTGATGAAAAGCTTCACTAGGCAAGTTTTGCTGGCACAAGGGCTTCAACAGCCGTTGCCTGGGGGACCCTCTTCTTTTTTTAGCACTGCTTCCAAATGATTTATTCATGCTTTGCAGAGTATGACACTTCTGAGCCAAAAGGGAAGATGCACATTGGCTGTACCTTTTCCCTTATCTTAGGAGTTCAATTTCTAGGTTTTTCTGATAGATTTCAGCTTGAATATTTGTGATCTGCTGCAGCCACATAACCTATTTATCCTATTAGTACTTTTATCGGAATTACGTTCAATTTATAATTTTACTTAAGGAGAATTGAGAGGTTTATGTGTGGTACTGAGTCTTACTGTCCAAAAACATCATTCATCGTTGTCAGTTGACTTAGTTTTTCTGTCTGTAAAATTGGAATAACAATACCAATCCCGTAGGGCTTCAGAATTAAATGAGAAAAAGTTTGGGAAGGACGGCAGAGTAGGAGCCAACGTGCTGCTCTGCCACTGCCGTAACGTAGGAACTTGGGTCTGGTTACTGGACTACACTGAACTTCGGTTCTCTCATTTGCAAAACGGGGATAAGAATAGTATCTGCTTCATAAGGGCTGCTGTCAGGGTCAAATACGACGAGGGCACGACCTGGAACATAAACACTCAATGCGTATTCGCCGTTCTTCTAAAAACAGAACTGCGACTCAAAGCAAAGGCATTCTGGGATCCACCCTAGGTCGAGGGCGGTCGGGCAACTCTTCTCTCTGAGAACCTACCTACCTAGCCGTCGGTCACCGCTCCCGATTTTGCCCGAGCGCCTGCGAAAGCAGTCGGACTAGAAGCCGCGATCGGGGGGGAGTCTAGGCGCACCGCGAAGACTCCAGACTCCGCCCCGCCCTCGGAGCCCCAGCGCTGCCACGTCTCGCGCGTCCAGCCGTCCAAAAGGGAGGGGGCGGGGCCAAGCCGGGCCCGCCCCTGGGATCGCTGGGCGCTTCCGAGGCCCGCCCCTCCGCAGCCCGAGTGGTCGGTAGGCGGCCCCGGCGTTGCAGAGCGCAGTGACGCTACGAGGGGGCGGGGCAGGCACGCGCCCGGAAGTCCCGGGGGAGGGGGCGTTACGTATATCCGGCGAGTAGCTGGCGGTTTCGGGTGCTGCTGGGCTGTGTGGTGTGAGGGAGGGTCGAAGCCGCCGCTGCTGCCGGAGGAGCCCCTCGGCCGTGAGTTGGGGGCTGCTGCGAGGGAGGGAGCCGGGAAGCGGGAGGGGCTGGGGCGGACGGCGGGGAGGGTCGGGGCGGAGGCCGGCGCAGGCGGGGTTGGTGGGGGGGAAGTGACACGCAGGCGGTTCTGCGGGGCCGCGGGGTTGGTTCTGGGTGGGGACTGGCCGACTTGGCCGGTCTGCTCCGTTTCCTGACAGACCCTGGGATATCGGGTCGATCTGAATTCCTTCGAGGGTCCCGAAGCGGCTGGGCGGGATAACAGGTTTCTTGTCTGTACTGTGCGCTCCTGTTTGCGAAACGATTTCACATCTCGTCTCGGATGAGCCTCCCAGCCCTTGGTCAGGCGGGTGGGAGTCCTTGATGATTATCCTTGGTTTGCAACCTGGGGAATTATAAAGCTCGCCGAGGCAGTGAATTGGTCAAGGCCTCGCAGAGAGCAAGAGTGAGCATTCGAACCGGATCTCTTGGCTCCTAGTCCAGTGCGCCCCCCCCCCTTCAGCTATGTTTTATCTGAGGTCTTGGGTCGAACCCTGTATTTTCTTCTTCCACCTTCCTCTTTTCCTCCCTTTCTTCAATGCGTCGGCAAATTACTTCATTCACGTTTGGTATAGATTAATGTTTTAATGATTCTAGCCTAGAGGTCAGAAGCCCACTTGTCTCTCTTGTAATTTCTCCCTTGCTCTTGTGTTTTCTCCTTTACCTCAGTCCATCTGCTTAGGTCGTGATAGAGGACTTGTGGTGCTTTGCCTTGGAGCTGACCTTTGACATTTACCCTGCAGCTAAGCATAGTTTCTTAGCTAAAAAACCAGAAGCTTGCTATCCCAGATCTGTCTGGAATGGTGTGTCAAAGTTGTAACGAGTATGTGTAAGAAGTAATGAGGATGTATAGAAAGTAGTGTATATATTGGCTAGTGCTCCTCTTTTATTGACTTCAATCAGTCCTGAAATTTGCACAGTTTTGGATACATTGGCAGTGCTTTTGTGTTAGTTTGGAGTTCTTAAATTTTAGAGTACTCTAATTTGCCATAAGATGCCATGAGGTGGTAGGGTGGATCAAGGATAGGAAATAGAATGCCAGTTATTAAAATACCCTTTTGAATGGTTAAAATACCATTATTAAAATGCCATTCAGAAGGTGTGATAAGTTGTAAGGAAGAAAACTTGAGAAGATTATCATCTGTGTAGCTCGTGGGTTAAGGAAGTTTTAATGTTCCTTTAAAAACCGTTTTGTTATTTGGATTTGAATTTTATGTGATATTAACAAGAAGAGCTTTGGCTTTGGAATTTAAGAAGGAGGGTTTTGGTCTTGGCACTGATACTTCTTTTCGTTGAGCAGTTTTGGTTAAGTCAGCTGACTTAGGAGTGTCGGCATCCTTGTCTGAGGCTAGGGACTCCTCCCCAGTAAGGTGTTGCGTGAGGTTGAAATGAGATGTATGTGCAGGCATTGTACAAAACTGTGAAACTATTCATGAGGGGTGCGAATCCTAAGATCTCATGGATGGAGGAGCCATCAGAGACATTTCATTAACTTTGGGTGGCCAAATAGTGCAACTCTTTGGGTCCAGTAATGGTTTTTATTATTTTTCAACATCACCTGAAGAGTTTCTTCAAGCATTTTCCATAGATCGTTTTGGAGGGAAGGATTATAGGACTTTCTAAGCAGGGATGTCAAGGGAAGGTGAATTGGAAAATCAGACTAGTTCAGTTATCATGAAAAATTCCTTTAAGTGGGGTTTTCTCCTTGTCACCTTTGGAGAAGTCATTGAATTGGGGATAATTCTAAAATGATGTGGTAAAACTTCAGAGAGTCTATAAAGTATTGATTGCAAACCGGTGTAGTACAAATGAATATGTAACTGTGGGTTTTAAAGGAGTGATCAGAGTGGGAGTACTGTTTAATGAGAGGTGCCCTGTAAAGGTGAGCCGTGCTTCTCCCAAGTGGTAGACTGAGAAAAGTAGGGAAGGATGACTGGTTTGGGGGGTTGCAGAGAAAAGGCACGTTGTTCCTTTACTTACCTACAGTGGAAACTTAAGAACAGGAGCTTTGTAAGTATAGTTAACTCATTGGACTTCCGAAAGTGCAGATTGAGTTTCCAGACACATTATTTGACATGCTAAATTTGGTCTCTGCCAACGTATATTTTAATGTAACTGAAAAGGTCAACAAAACTTATTTAATACCTTTTTATAAAAGCTTTTGCCTTAGCCTTCACCCTCACCCAAACTCCCAAGCTTCACTTGGCCTTCCATGAGAAGAGTCATAGAAAATAAGCATTAAGCAATCCCTAAAGTTTATAGATCAGGCTTGATTTAAAAACAAACCCCAGGGGCGCCTGGGTGGCGCAGTCGGTTGAGCGTCCGACTTCAGCCAGGTCACTTCAGCCAGGTCACGATCTCACGGTCCGTGAGTTCGAGCCCCGCGTCGGGCTCTGGGCTGATGGCTCAGAGCCTGGAGCCTGTTTCCGATTCTGTGTCTCCCTCTCTCTCTGCCCCTCGCCCGTTCATGCTCTGTCTCTCTCTGTCCCAAAAATAAATAAACGTTGAAAAAAAAAAAACAAACCCCAGTTATTGGACAGAAAAAAGAAAATTAACATATATTGTCTTCATTTTTCAATTTTTTTTTTAATCTAGCATTCTTTGAAGAATATAGGTGTGTTTTTGTGGATAAGCCTGTTAAGGTCACTAGTAAAAGTAACAAAAGTGAATTTTTGTTTATTATTTTAAAGAAACAAAAATTCATGAAAGTTATATCTGATAGCAGTTGGTCACATCTAGTATAGCCTTGTGTTCAGATGCTCTTGCTGATGGAGAGAGGAGTGAAAGTGGGGGATCTTTCTTTTACTCTGAACCAAGTCTGAGGTATTGAGGCAAAAGTTCAGTGACCAGAAAATGCTGACTCTGAGAAACTTTAACACCACCACTGGCTCTAGATCTTACCCTCTTTAATTTCTTTCAGAAGTCCTCTTATTACCAGTATATTTTTAATTTTTTTTTATGTTTATTCATTTTTGAAAGACAGAGAGAGACAGAGCACAAGCAAGGGTGGGGCAGAGAGAGAGGGAGACACAAATCCGAAGCAGGCTCCAGGCTGTGAGCTGTCAGCACGGAGCCCGACGCGGGGCTCGAACTCACGAACCGCGAGATCACGACCTGAGCCAAAGTCAGGACGCTCAACTGAGTTACCCAGGCACCCCGCTTATTACCAGTGTATTTAGACCTTTTAGTAGCTTTGAGTCATCTTTTGTTTTGAGTATTCTTATTTTAAGAAAATCCATATTTGTAAAGTGAGTTAGGTCTTGATTATTCACATTACGAAAGGATTCTCTTATTTCTTCATGACTCTCCAAAATAGTGATATCGTCTCTTTTTATAAGTTGAGACACATATCTGCAAGAGGGGTTCAATAAATATTGTTAAAGAAAGATAGCATTGCTAAGTGGAGCAGGACAAATTATGTCAGCCGATAGGATTTGGGTGACTTTGTTTTTCAGAGTGTTTACAAGGAAGGGTTAATATGCTTTTCATTCACGTCAATATGCTTTTCATTCTCATTTTCTACTTAGTGTATTGATGTGACATTTTGATTCAGATTATTGATGGGACTGATTTCCTAGAGGTGTTGCTAACGGGTAGACAGCAGCGATGTGTCTAGAGAAATGTGGACGAGCAGCTGCCTGGAGGAGTAAGTCATACAGTAAGAGAGGAAGATTTATCTGTAACTCCTAGTCTTTGGAGCATCATAGATTAAAGACTGTTAGAAAACCAGGAGTTTGTGCAGCTCTGAGGACCCGAGAGACTTCCCTCCAGGGTGCACATTCCTTTATTTTCTTGGGCCTGAAAACATGGGACTGTACACATGCATCAGGGCTACAGAATAAAAGTTAACTTTTCCGGAACTGTACTAGCATTCAGAAAGCTAATGTTTGCCGCTTTCCTATTTTATACAGGTAGGAAGCATTAATAATGTCTTTCATCTTTGAGTGGATCTACAATGGCTTCAGCAGTGTGCTCCAGTTCCTAGGTAAAGCCATTTCCTTAAAATATATCGGAGGTTTCAAACTTTGTACATTTCCTCCAACAGTCTAAATACAAGCAGCCTTTGGTGTGTAGAAAGCAAACGTATGTAAAAATATTTTTCTTTTTTAGGGCTTTACAAGAAATCTGGAAAACTTGTATTTTTGGGTTTGGACAATGCAGGCAAAACCACTCTTCTACACATGCTCAAAGATGACCGCTTGGGCCAGCATGTTCCAACACTACATCCGAGTAGGTTTGAAAATACCAGGTGACCTTTTGATATTTGAAGGACAATGTTAGGGTTGGGGGAAGAATCCCCAGTTGATGGAGTTCTTGTATTAACGGAGGTCCCAAAAGACAGCTCATTTGAAAAAATTCCCTATAGGACACACTCAGGTCATATACTCATAAGTCTCAACCTCTGGAACTTTGTCAGTATTTATTTTCACTAGTTCTGTAAGGGAACAACACCTTTCCCATATCTACTTTTTTTTTAAGTTTCTTTTAATATTTATTTATTTTTAAAAAGAGACGGTAGAGACAGAGTGCAAGTGGGGGAGGGGCAGAGAGAGAGGGAGACCCAGAATCTGAAGCAGGCTCCAGACTCTGAGCTGTCAGCACAGAGCCCACTGCGGGGCTTGAACTCACGAACTGTGATATCGTGACCTGAGCCGAAGTCGGAAGCTTAACCGACTGAGCTACCCAGGTGCCCCTCCCATATCTACTTCTAAGGAGCAGCAAACTGTTTGGAGAAAAAAACTTGGCTTTTTAGAATAATTTCAGAATGTTTCCACTCTTGTATCCTTTACAAAGTAAAAGCTTCATTAGGTTTTGCATTTGTATTGGCTTACAATACTGGTAGCTGAGCCTTGTTGGATGAAGTTTATTTTTTTTCTGTTTTAACAATTTTTCAGCCTCAGAAGAGTTGACAATTGCTGGAATGACTTTTACAACTTTTGATCTTGGTGGGCATGAGCAAGGTAAGACAACTCAGTGGAAGAATGGTATTGACTTACGGGTCACCATTTTGGTTCTTTTTATGCCTCCCTTTTTTTTTTAAGCAGCGTGTCATTTTTACCTCTTAAGTTGTGATTAAATTATGATTGTGATCTTATTACTTAAATGAAGTTGTTTTATTTACTTATTAAGTAATACCAAACTTGTCAAAAGTTGTATAAATACAGAGAACTCTACTCCTTTATACCTTTTGCCCTGATTTATTAGTTTCCCTCTCTGTGTAATACATATTAACATTTAAGTTATCAAACCCGGGAAGTTTTATTTTTATCTACTCTGTAGTGTAGATTTCTCTTTTTGTCAATTGTGTCCATAATCTCCTTTATAACATTTTTCTTCTTGAACAAGATCCAGTACAGTATCACTCACATATCAGATTTAATCATGTCTCTGTTCTTTATTCAGTGGAGTGTAAGTATGTAGAAAATTGTTACTTTTTGTAAGTAATTTCAGATTTGTCCAAAGTTGCAAATACAATACAGGGATTACTTGTGACCATTCTGATCTGTTTTGTATAATCTGTCCTCTTGGGGCGGTTGGTAGGACATTTCTTTCCACCTTCTTGTTCTCTTAGTGCTTTTTACCTTATGCAGGCTGTGCTCGTTTAGTTCCTAGATTCCTATCAGATATCTTGTGTGGTTTTTAGAAATATACAGAATGGGGTATTTTTCTGGTGGACACTCACTTTACATTTGACAAGACTCTAAGCGTAGGAGTAAAACATTTAAGAAATAGGAATAAATATTCTGGGAAAGTAGAAAAAAGAAACTATTGAAATTCTGTCATATTTATTCATTTGTTATTAAATTGAGTTGAGAAGTCTCCTTTTGGAGCATTCATTAGGTTGAATCTGATATAGCTTTTTAAAAATGTAGTTAGAAAAACCCAAAACATTGGCAGTTTTAATGGTTTAGCCAAGTTATTTATTTATTCATTCATTCATTCATTTATTTAAATTTTAGAGATCACGTGAGCGGGGGAGAGGAGCAGAAGGAGAGGGAGAGAGAGAGAAAGAGAGAAACTTAAGCAGGTTCGATGCTCAGCATGGAGCCAGACATGGGGCTCCAGCCCACGCATGGCCCTGGGATTATGTGTGACCTGGGCCAAAATCAAGAGTTGAATACTCAACCACCTTGAGCCACCCTTTAGCCAGTGGTTAAAATTTTGGTAATTTTAATCAAAAGGCTAAGGAATGATCTAGATGATTTTGTATTCTGTCATTTCATTAACATAGAATTACATTTATTTTATTCATTTAATATTTAAATGAATAAATACATAGCCCACAGAATCTTATGTAGTATGATCACTATCACATAAAATACCTGTACAGAAAAAAGATTGAAAGAATATATACAGAAACATTAGCGTATGTGTGTTTCATGGAAGATTACAGATGGTCTCGTATCCTTTTTTTCTATAATGAGTTTGTGTTATTTTCATTGTGGTAGAAATGGGCGTGTGGTGGCTTTTCTGATTTCAAAGGATTTAAATTCACAGATAATATAATTATAAGATGAATGGAGACCATTTGGAGAATGCAGGCGTAGAAGTTTTTAGGCACCTGAACTGAGAATTGTTATTTGGTGTGTTAAGTTTAGCTTTCAGGTTTTGATAAAGAAGGGAAATGTGTTTTATATAGTTTTGTTTTGTTTGAGGAAAATTTATTTAACAGAAATACTTACCATAATAACTTAGTTACCATTTTACAGAAGTTACTAAAGTGCTATACATATGAAGATTTCCTTTTTTAAAAAAACTTTAAATGTTTAACTTATAAAAGTAGTCCAGGCTCAGGGTGCCTGGCTGGCTCAGTCAGAAGAGCATACGACTCTTGATCTCAGGGTTATGAGTTCGAGGCCCATGTTGGGTGTAGAGGTTACTTAAAAAAAATAAAGTAGTCCAGTCTCAGCGTAACAAATTCAGTATACAGTCAACTTAGGAATATGGAAGGTGAACATTTCCCCAGCCTCTCCTTCCCCATCTCACTCTTCAGAGTTAACCAATATATTTTAAAAAAAAATTTTTTTTATATTTATTTAAGAGTGAGAGCGTGAGTAGGGGAGGGGCAGAGAGAGAGAGAGTGACACATAGAATCCGAAGCAGGCTCCAAGCTCTGAGCTGTCAGCACAGAGCCCATGTGGGGCTCGAACTCCTGGGACCTGAGATCTTGACCTGAGCCGAAGCCAGATGCCTAACAGACTGAGCCACCCAGGCATCCCTGGAGTTAACCAATATTAACTCTTTGATATAGAGATATTATTCATCCCATTGAAAGTACTAGAAATGAATGGCTTAGAAATTATAATACAATTAAAGCATTGCTTCCCAAATCTTTACCACTTCATGTCTTAAAAAAATAAAATTTATAAGGCATCCTGGTTTAAAGTTTATTTATTTATCTTGAGAGAGAGAGTGCGGGTGAGTGCACGAGCTCAAGCGAGCAGGGGAGGGGCAGAGAGAGGGAGAAAATCCCAAGCAGGCTCCATACTATAGAACCCGATGGCGGGCTCTGACTTCATGAACCGTAAGATCATGACCTGAGCTGAAATCAAGAGTAGAGACACTTAACCAGCTGAGCCACCCAGGAACCCCAGGCATGCTGGTTTTAAACATGGGACACTGGGATAATTGCCTGGGAACTTGAACCACCTGTCAGACCCAGGCTTCTGAGGACAGAGCACGTGAGTGTGTCAGTACAAGTACGCATTGGTTAGTTGGGAACTAAATTGAGACTGTAGGTATGTGGATAGGTAATTGGCATCCTGAGGAGTTTAACTCAGAGGTTGCAAACAGCTTTGGGGGCAAGGTAGGTCATTTGAGTAAAAGTGACTGGGTGACAGACCATAGGGAGCGGTGGAAGCTTTGCCAAACTGGAGCCCAGACATTGTCTGAAGGGGCAGCCATACCTCAGTTCCAGCTGATGACTGACGCGTGGGTGGGTGTGTGCGGCATTGCCAGGTGTTACAGTTTGGCAGAATACCTTGACTTTTGAATTTGGAAAAAGTCAGATTTAGTTTGTGGGCCGTCAGTGTATACCCTCGGTTCTGATTTCATACCGGTTAGGACGTGGAGAATCCATATGGAGTCGACTATTACTGAAACCTAGCCAAGATTTGCCCATTTTTGGGCAAAAAAAAATATAGAGGGAGAGATTTTTCAAAATCTGTATTTTTTTTTTTTTTTTTTTTATCAATGCAGCTGTAAACTTTGTCTTTCAGCACGCCGGGTTTGGAAAAATTATCTCCCGGCAATTAACGGGATTGTCTTTCTGGTGGACTGTGCAGATCACCCTCGCCTCATGGAATCCAAAGTTGAGCTGAATGTAAGATTATAGTCTTTCTTTTCACGGCTTGTGTCTCTCTCTCTCTCTTTTTCTCTTTTTTTTAAAGTTTATTTATTTATTAGAGGGAGAGAGAATGTGTGTGCACACATACTCGTGGGAGGGGCAGAGAGAGAGGATCCCACGCAGGCTTCTCGCTGTTGGCGTGGAGTGCGACGCAGGCTCGATTCCATGAACCGTGAGATCATAACCTGAGCTGAAACCGAGAGTCGGTCGCTCAACTGACTGAGCCACCCAGGCGCCCCTTGGCCTCTAGTTCGTTTTAAGAAATACAGCTCAGTAGCGCCAATACTTTGTCATTCCAGTTAACATTTGATGACAGTCCTGGCTACAGGAAGAGTGTTTTAAAAGCTAAGACGTGGCTTTTCAGTGTCCTGAGGAAACTCAGCACGAACTTGAGTCAGTTAACTTTGTTTATATCTATCATAGGGTGACTGTGTCCAGTTTGCTCGGACACTGCCCAGTTTATGCCGGTTGCCCCAACATAAGCAATCCCTATTCCTTTCACATGTGGTCACTGTATATGAAGCGATGGCATAATGCAGCCTTAGGAGAGCTACTAAAGTTCTTTATGTTTTTTAATCTGGGTCCTCACATTGTGGCTGCCCACCCTTGCGCTGAATGACTTCGCCAACGTGATCACAGGCTGTCCTCAGTGTTCAGTTTTGGTCGCCGGCAGCATTTCATACTATCGAGGACTCGCTTCAAGTTTTCTCTCCCCCCAACGTTGCATTTCCTTGACTTCGCGGTTTCTGTCATGTTGCTTTTGTTATCCCTCCCGCTTCACCCTGTGCCTCTTTTGATTTGGTTTGTAACTGTCTCTCTGCGTTCTTGTTTCTGGCACTGTGAACCTGTCACCTTTATTTGTGAGTGTGTTTCTTGAATCTACAGCTCTCATCTCTGTAGACTCGCTATAGGGCATCCCTTCCCTGACTTGACCTCTTGGCACTGGTATTCTCTCTTTCTTCAAACTCCCATTTACGTTCTTGGTTTTGGTGTGCCTTCTCTGGCTAATACTTCTCAGATTCTTTCACGAGCACCCATTCTCCTGCTTAGCCCTTAAATCTTGGTGTTCCCCAGGGTCTGTACTTTCTCCCAGGCTGGTCCAGGTCACTCCCATTCCTTCATCTGCCACCCACATACCAGTGGCTCCCAAATGGATTTCTCTTGTTTAAACCTCTCTTGAGCTCCAGCCTCATACATGACGCTACCTGCTAGACAACTCTACCTACCAATTCTGGTCTTCTGGAATGGAACTCATCCCCACTGTCTACCTGGACACATGGTCTAGATCCTGTGAATTACTGTAGATTTCACTGCCCCCCCCCCCCCCCCCCGTCACATGCCGTAATGCTAGAAGGAACTTTTTCAGACTCGTCACTGGCCTACTTAACATCCTTTAATAGCTCTCTCACTTTTGGGATAAAATCCACAAATCTGTATGGCATGTAAGATCTCTCCTGATCTTTCCTCTGTTTCATTTCTCCAGCTGCTTTTCTCTTTATTACCTACCTTGAACTTTCTTCCAAAAATAGAGAACAACTCGTCCTTCCTCCAGTATGCACAAGTGGCTGTCCCTGCCTGGCTTTCTCATCTGACCCCACCCCCTTTTGCCGGTAAATTAAAAAATACCCTTTTAAGAGATCTCAGAGTTCAGCCATGACCTCTTCTAGGAAGCCTTCCCTGACCTCTGAGATGGTTAGTCTTGCCGCCTTATCAGTGTCTGTGGTCTTTACTGGTTTTCTTGTAGGTCTTGTCATCAGATTGTGAACTTAGTAGGGACCTAGTCTCGTTTCTTTGTGAAACCCTGGCACCTAGTAAAGCGTCAGACTTAGAGTAGGCGTCTGGTTAGTATTTAATGAATGAATGACATCCTTACTCTGATCTTGTCTAACATTTCCTGGAACGTAAGATGGTCAAAGCGTGTTCCCCTTTATCCCTTTGGCTCTCCTGTTTTCCTAGCTTTTCCTGTCAGTGGTCACTGGATTTCCAGGCTTGAGATCTCTGCCAGCTCTGGCCTTTCTTTTATCTGTCTTTTCATCTAGAGGGCAGTCTCTTATCTTCCTTCCCCAGAGTGCCTGCACTGTTCCTTGGATGCTGCTATCTTAGGCTAGATTGTTGTCTCTTACCTGAGCACAGATTCTGTAAATTCATTGTGTTTTTACACATAGGTTCTATCCAGGAGCTTCTGGATTTGGGGTCTTTAGGATCGATCGCAGCTAACTTCTCACCCTGGCACCATAATGGTAGTCATGCCTTCCCATTCTGTTGACTGTGTGTCAGCATAAAGGCAGGCGGTGCTCCTTGTGGCTTTCTGAATTCTTTTCCTACTGTAAAGCCACTGCTTATATTCTCCTCTTTTCTACCTATCCAAATCCTGCCCCCTCTTTCAGAGCTTAGTTTAGGTTCCTCAAGACTCGCTAAGACTTTCCTCAAGCCCATCATTTTCCTCGCCTTTGATTTCCCAGAATATCTTTCAGTATTTATATTCTGTCCCTGTTCATTGTGACACTTAGTCATCCATTTGCCTTGCTTTGTTGATAGATGGATGAACATAGAGTGAGGATTTCTTGAGGCCACAGATGGGTCTTCCTCTTCTTTTTGTATCCCTCTCAGTGGCAGAGACAGTTCGCACACATGGGGCACTCGGTGACTACTCGGGGACTTCCTGTGGCCAGAGCACTCAGTCTTCTAGGACCGCGCAGTGGATCACCCGAAGGTGGTCTGTGCTGGGTGACTGATCTGAGAGTTAAGGCTGGGAAAGTTCTCCTGCCTTGTAAATAGGCCCAGCCTTAAGTTGCAATTGTTTGGAGGCTCTTAGGGGATTTTTACCTAACGTCAAAGTAATGTGTAGGGGCTTCTTACCTAATGTTCAGAGTGTTGTATCATGTCAAGATTTTGTTAATTGTGCGGGTAAAAGATGATCAGATTTTCACTTCACATTTGATGCTTTATAGACAAGAGAAAGGTAGAGTTGCTTTCATTATCTGGTGGGCATTCATAGATTCCTCAACTAGCTGTTACGTTGTCTTTAGGCTCTAATGACTGATGAAACAATATCCAACGTGCCAATCCTTATCTTGGGTAACAAGATTGACAGAACGGATGCCATCAGTGAAGAAAAACTGCGTGAGATATTTGGGCTTTATGGACAGACCACAGGAAAGGTAAGAGAAAAATCTTCAGGGGACCTATTACAAAGGAAACTCACAGCTTTTGAAACATACATGTTTTGCTATCTAGATTTTTTTTATTTGTCTTTGAAAAGTTTAACTGGGCTTAGGGTTTGTTTTACCATCGGTGATTTGTAATCACTCTGAAGGCGGGAGAATGTGTTTTCAGTTTTCTCATGAGATTTTCCTCAGGTATATGAGGATGAAGAGATGGGTAGGAAAGGCAGACTTACGAATTTAAGAGTTTTCTGACTCCCTTTCAAACCCAATTCAGAGAAATCTTTTTTTTTTGTTGTTTTAATGTTTATTTTTGAGAGAGAGCGTAAGCCAAGGAGAGGGAGGGGATGAGGAGAGAGGATCCGAAGTGGGCTCTGCGCTGACAGCAGAGGGCCTGATGCTGGGCTCAAACTCACGAATCGCGAAATCATGACCTGAGCCGAAGTTGGATGCTCAACCGACTGAGCCACCCGGGCACCCCTCAAATCTTTTTTGAAGGAGGCCTTCTTAACCAGAAATCAGTTTTGTTTTTGACTGGAGATTTCAGGTTATGAAGAAGAGTGACCTTTCATATCATTTTCCAAGCAGTGAAACCCAGCACTGGAGTATCCCCAGTGTTCCTTGCTAAGAGAGGTAGGATTGTTGTCCCCATTTTGAAGATGAGTTGAGGAATAGAAGCCAAGTCTTCCGGATCAGTAGGCTGTGCTCTCCCCGGGTAGGAGAGCTCTGTTGCAGAGAAGCGCTTGTCAGAAAAATCCGTATCCGTGGTAGTTGAGCAGGAATTCTGGCCTTTTCAGCTTGCAGTTTTGGGACCACTGATAACTTTCTGACTTTCTTACATGGTTTCTTAGTCTTGTCTCTTTTTGGCTAGCAGTGTCTCTCCAGAAACGCTTGCTTTAATTTAGTTTCTCCTCTTTTACATGAGTGTTATGCGTAAAAGAAGACTCTTCGCTTTCTCAATGTAACCTGTCATCAGTGTAGATTTCTGAATGGTTGTGTTCATGATAATGGCCTTATTTCTGAACAGTCTTGGGGACTTCTGTCCGTCAAAGAACATGCTGCTTCTGTGGGACCTAGTGGCCTTTGTCTTGGTTTGCTGCCATAACTTTCCAGATGTCTGTGTGTCCTCTTTACAAAGAGAGTCTGGGACTAGGACTGTGCCGCTTATTTTCTCCTGAGAGCATGAAGCCCTGGGGAAGTCATGTGTATGGCCTTGCCCGCGTTCCTGTCACGAATCCCTACTTCAGTCTGTTTTTGAGGGATGGAGACAGCGATTCCTGAGATCACTCTTTCAGGCTCTTCCACCACGGGGGTGCTAACAGGCTTTTCTGGGTTTCGCCTCTCGTAGGGGAACGTGACCCTGAAGGAGCTGAATGCCCGCCCCATGGAAGTGTTCATGTGCAGCGTGCTCAAGAGGCAAGGCTACGGCGAGGGCTTCCGCTGGCTCTCCCAGTACATTGACTGATGTTTGGACAGTGAAAATAAAAGAGTTTTACTTCTCTGGACTGATCCCATTCCCAGCTTCCTCATGAACTTTTCTACTAGAACAAGGAAAGCTCTTCAACCGTGTGTGGCGTTGAGAAGCCAAGAGTCTCTGTCCGCCCTCTCATCGCCCAGTGGTGACATGTGCTTTCTCCACACTATTGGGAGGTGACGCTGCCCCACATGCCAGTGCAGGTCAGCGTCCCGGGACTCGGAAGCCGGCAGGATCTGCTGGGTAAAGCTGTATGCCATCATGGGGCACCTGAAAGAAAAACACGTCTCACCACTGTGGTTGATTTCAAAAGAAAGTGATTCTATTTTTTAAAGAAAGCGTTGTTAATGTAATTGGTGTCCCTCTTCACTTTTTGAGTTCAGAATTTACTTGGTCCAGAGTTTTCTATTCTTTTTTTTTTTTTTTTTCCTCCTCGTATTTTAGTGAAAGGCATTTTAAAACTTTAAAAAATTTTCCCCCAAAAACCGTCGGGGGCCAGAGCCCAGTCGGGTGAACCCATTTTGTTTTTATAACAGGTTTTGTGGGCACACCCCCCCCCCCCCCCCCCCCAACGCCCCGTGTCTCTGCCTGCCTTGTTGCGGTGGGCACCACCTTCTGCGCAGAGAAGTGGGAAAGGGCGGAACTTGGGCCTGGCAGTTGCAGGAGGTGTCCACTGTGGCCAGCCAGGCCCGTTCCTCGTCGGGGCGTGTACAGCAGGTTGCTCACTGTGGAGGGGTTAATTATAGAGCGGTTATTTTCTTACTTTACTTACAGAGTTGCAAACCGCAGCCGGTCTTTGCTTTGCTTTGCTTTGATACTGTTGGGAAACTTCATTTCTCTTCATACACCTGTTTCATGTTCAGTTTTAAGAAATGACGTTTGCCTCCTAAAAGAGAACACCTCGCGAACTGCCCTACACCGCAGGTGTGTGTCTGTTACTTTTGCACAGATTCTAGGGAAAAATTTTCTGCATCGGTGAATCGCAGAGGACAAAGTTAGCCACTGAAGGGCTCTTAATTCTGTGAGTTGAGAACTTAAAAAATCTGGTATTTGTATCATTTGTTTGGATCCAGGAAAGATTTATTTAATGGGCTTTAAAATTTTCACTTGCAGGATGTAGTCTCTTTATTGGACTGTTTGTGAGCTCTTTTTTATCGCTTACCTGTTTTTTTGGTGTTTAAAGGTTAACATCTGTAGCTAGATGATTTTTTTTTTTTTTTTTGGTATGAAATTGCCTTTCTCCATTTCAGAAGTAAGCTGCGGAAACTCTAATCTTAACTTTGTGTGGTGGTGTTCTTTTTGAGCCAGCGTCACTTGTCAGGAAGACCTTAGTATAAAAAGCCTCAGTGTCCCCAGTAGTGTGAGGATTATTTTCATAGCATTCCTTTTTCTTGGTGTCACCTGTAAAATTGGGATTTTCATGATCTTAACCAGTATTAGACCCTTTGTTAAGATGGGTGGATATCTTCATTTTTTCCTTTAATGAGAGATTAGAAGTTTCCTCAGAATTGAAAATTGTGGATGATGATGCTTATTTGCAGAGGATTGAACTAAATTCAGTAGAATCTTGTGTCTAATGTGAAGGCAGGGAAAGTGTGGATAACAAATTGCAGGGGGGAGAGTATTGTTCTTTAATGGATTTCTCATTGCTAGTCTTCACCACTGACTTGTTAGGAAAGCATACTTTTCCACTGCCAGGTACCCAGTGCAGAGGCTCAATGAAGGATCAGTCTGGGAAGAGCACGCCTTTCATTTATTAGCAAGCATTGCTGAGTTAGGACAAAACTCTTTGGTTTGGAAAGGGGTGAAAGCCTTAAATGAACAATCTAGCTAATGGTGAATGAACTAGGTCGTTAACATGCATACTTTTCATTTCCTTTGGCTAAAGGTAACCCATACTTCTTCATCCAGAGACATGAGAAGTATGATTGCAGTGCTAGTTTTCTTGTTTCTTGTTTTTTTCCTATTTGTCCCTAATCACTTTGTAGCAAGCTAGAAAACTATGGATTCTACACAGCGCAGCTCTTTGTGAAAGTGGTGCATTTTGGCCACTGGAGAAAGAGGAGATTGAAAAGTCAGCTGGCATCCGTCTGTTTCTTGCTCCACAGAAAACACTGTTCCTTTAATAAGGTTGCAAAAGAAGCTGATGTGAGGAGCTTGTCTCCTAACAGTGAGGATCAGAGCTTTGTACAAGAACTCCCACGAATTGAGACTTTTCATTCTGTTTTATCAGAGTGCATATATGTCCTATTTCGGGAAAAGTAAAACAGTCATTTACAAAAGAAGGTCAATCTGTATCCTAAGCATTTTAATAAAAAGTTAAACTTATTATCCTGTTCCATTTTATTTATTTGTTTGTATTGGTTTGTTCTGAGTTTGAACATGACATTTGTTGGAGGTGGGAAAGCAGAAGTTCTTTTCCTAGTTACAGGAAGAAATAGTTACAGATGATACGAAAGACAAGTTTTGCTACCAGGAGGAAAAAAAAGCTAGGCCTATTCACACACTTCAACCAAAGAATTTAGTTATCGTCTGAGAGGCTTGGAACATGTGCTGATCCCGGGATTGGTGGCCATCTCGGCAATAGGATGCACGTAGTGGACTTTTTAGCAAAGTCTCATATTAACATGCTAGCAAGGACTGGATCCAGTTTGGCTGCTTATCACTCATCATTTTATACAGAATGGGAGAGATTCAGCTGAGCGCTACGTTTGGTAAAATAGCGGAAGGAATGAAACGTGTGCCTGTGCATTTACTAGGCTTGCAGGAAGCCTTGTTTTTAGAAAACCCAAGAGAGATTTTAAAACTAATGGGACAAATGGAATGGGAAGCAAAATGCAACACACTGTTTTTGACCTAGTACTAAAAGTATTAGAGGCATCTTGTGATTGAAACTAATGTCCGTGTTACTACATTGATGCCACGGGGTCTGTATGTTTGTATGTATTGCTTGTTGGGTTCAAGTGGAACATGAGAATTACAGGCTGAGTCCATGAGCCCAGCACTCAAAGGGTCTCACCTTGGCGGTTGGCTGTTGACTTAGGACTCTATGCCCTAATGTGCTGTAAGCAGAAGAACCTGACGCACAACAGTTCAGGCTGGAGGTCTGAGTGTCATTAAGGGAGAATCCCTAGACTCTAGAGAGAAAGAAACTTAATTACTAGGAAGTTGGAATAGTTAGATTTTACTGTGATCAAGGCACCTTCTGTGTCAGGGAACCAAAAGACAGTGCCTGCTGTGGAAGACTGCTTGCTAATTTCAGTCCCACCTCCTACTATAATGGGTCATCGTTTAACTTCCTCAAACAGGTTTGTGTCACTGGGACCATTGCAAGCGCTAACCCTTGGGCTGGGAATACACTGAGCAGCATTAATTTTATTCAGAAATTGGGGCAAAAAGGTTTTATAGTTTAACTACCAACTGAATAATTTTTGTTAATGCTGACATCAATACCTTCTGAAATCTGGGCTGCTGCCTGTTTTTGTATAGCCTGGGGGGGGGGGGGGGGGGCGGGGGGGGTGCGATTTTGTGACACATAAAATTCAACTTTCAGTGACCATGAGGAAAGTTTACTGAACACAGCCACCCATTGTTTGAGCTCCCACATGTTACAAATCTAGTTGGGTATTTGAAAGGGAACGTGTGGCCTGCAAAACCTGAACTATTGACACTCTGGCCTTTTACAGAACAAGTGTCTGGTCCCTGACCTAGATGAACGCTAGGTGGTGGTGATAAATGTTATGTAAAATGTGCATACTGCACAGTTAGGGTTGTAAAATTAAAGTGTGACTTCGGTTACTCTTCATAATAGTTTTAAAGGGCAATTTTATTTTGCGAAAACCGTTTTCGTAAGTTTTGTCCCGAGCCTTCGGCATCAAAAGGCCCTAGGTGTAGTCCTGTCAGCTGCATGCCATCTAGTGGATCGCTGTAGGACTTACTTCCAAAATTTCAAATCACTGAAATTGGTCAAGGAGTCAAGGATTTCCTTGCCCTTATTACCCCGGGGGTCGGAAGCCGAAGTTTCAGACCTGAGCAGATACTCAGGTGCTGTCTTCTGGGCAAATCTAGGCATGTCAGCCCTTATTTCTATTCCTTTTCCTGCAGCCCAACGAACAGAGAAGGGATCCCACCTTGCCCAAGCCCCGTCTCCCTGCAAAACCACACGCCGGTCACTCTCCCCACGCTCACCTTCCAGGACAGCTTCTCCCGCTGCGTCGCGCAGGTGGCCCGAACCCATGAGGGCGGGGAAAGGGACGGGGTCAGTCTGGGCAGCCAATCAGGGCTCGGCCCCAAGCCCAGCCAATCGGGCCCGACAAATTGGGGCCTAGCCAATCAGGCCCGACAAGGAAGAACTGAGTCAGTGTTTGCGCCTCTCCCTTCCAGCTTTGGGTGGCGCCGCGGGGGATCAGGGGTCCCGGCCGGGCTCCTCGCTCGCTTCCCTCGTTCCCCTGGAAACCCCGTGTGCACAGTCCTAGAGGACATGGCGCGGCAGTGGGGGCCGTCCATGAGGGCGGCCGAGCGGGCGGGCTGCGTGGTGAGCGCTTCCCGGGCCGGGCAGCCCGAGGCCGGCTCGTGGAGCTGCAGCGGGGTGATCCTGAGCCGCTGCCCGGACCTGGTGCTGTGCCACGGGGGCATTTTCACCCCCTTCCTGCGGGCCGGGAGCGGGGCGCTGAGCGCGGCCGGCGCCGCCTTCCTGCCCGGCGACAGTTGCGGCGACGACCTGCGCCTGCACGTGCAGCGGGGTCCAGCAGCCTCGAGCCCCTCAGGCCGCGCGGAGCGGGGCCGCCCGGGGCTGTGCACGCCCCAGTGCGCGGGCCCAGAGTCAGGCCCTCAGGGCCGACCCCGCGGGCGGCCCCTGCAGCCCCCGCGGCCCGCCGAGCTGCTGCTGCTGCTGAGCTGCCCGGCCTTCCGGGCCCACTTCGCTCGCCTCTTCGGGGGCGAGGCGGCGGAGCAGTGGCGCTTCGCGAGCGCGGCGCCGGAGGACGAGGTGACGGAGGACGAGGAGGAGGATCAGCTGAGAGCGCTGGGCTGGTTCGCGCTGCTGCGCGTGCGGCCCGACTCCGAGGAGGAGGAGGAAGAGGAGGAGGAGGAGCGCGGGCCGGCAGTGGCCGTGGCGCCTCTCGGGGCCGTGCCCAAGGGCGCGCCGCTGCTGGCCTGCGGCTCCCCGTTCGGGGCCTTCTGCCCGGACATCTTTCTCAACACGCTCAGCCGCGGCGTGCTCAGCAACGCGGCCGGCCCGCTGCTGCTCACCGACGCTCGCTGCCTGCCGGGCACCGAGGGCGGCGGCGTGTTCGCGGCGCGGCCCGCGGGGGCGCTGGTGGCGCTGGTGGCCGCGCCCCTCTGCTGGAAGGCC